CAAATCACTCCAAAGTCACTAACAAAATTCCTTTCAAAGAAGTGACAGCATTAAGGGCCACTTGTATAATGTTTTTTTCTTTCTCTCTCTCTCTCTCTCTCTTTAAAGAGATCATATATATATATATATATATATATACATATACATATATATGTGTGTGTGTGTGTGTGTGTGTGTGTGTGTGTGTGTGTGTGTATCCATGCCTAACTGTCTATCCAAATTTCTAGTGAAATTTTAAACGGAGCGCCTACCCCCCCCCCCGACTCCCATCACCACCACCACAAACACAAGGAACCTGGCAGAATTGCAACCAGCCAGCCTGCAAATGGAAACATGAGATCTTTGCTGTGGCATCCAAGCAGATTTTTCTTGCACAAACCAGTTTCCAAGTTGGCTCTCAGCTGTGCACATGCAGGATCAATATAGGTAATTATGAAGAATGAATGTAAATCCAGGACTAGGCGGATATGTTATCACTAAGTGGTTACAAACAATAATACTTAGCTTTCTTTCACAAACCTCTGTGAAGGGAAGTATAATAGGTAACATGGCAGTTTCATTTCAGCCTAGACTGTATGTTGCTCGTTAAACTACTAGATTTGAGTGTGTTTATTCAGCCTATTTGACAGTGGAAATTTATGACAGTAAATTATTATTAAAAGTGGTTTGCCTTTGCCTTTTTAGGATTGAGAAGGTGACTGGCCTAAGGAACCCAGCTGGCTTTGTGCCTAAAGCAGGACCAGAACTCACGGTTTTCTGGTTTCTAGCTTAATGTCTTAAGCATTATGCCAAACTGGTTCTCTAATTCAATTATATATTTATAATTTATAATACTGTGTTTCCCTGAAAAATGACCTATCTCGAAAGTAAGTCCTAGCTTTATTTTTACACATGCATCCAATATAAGCCCTATCCCCCAAATAAGCCCTAATTAAGAGTTAAGGGTGCACGAGTAAAAATTAAGCTGGGGGGATGGGGTGTATGGGAGCTGCCCTATTACTTACCTTCGGACAGTTGCAGCCAGGCATCACACACCCCAACATCTGCCTTGCCAGCCCATTTCTTCTGCAGCGCAGAGGCCTTCAAGAAAGCCTTGCCGGCTGCAGAAAAAGTTCCTAAAACCCTCTGACAGTGAAAAGGAGCCAAGGGGTGATGTGTGCAAGTGATGTGAATCAGTGGACAACATCTTCCCCCCCCCCCAAAAAAATAAGACCTGGTGCCTTTTTTGCGTGGCAAAAAAAATAAGACAGGGTCTTGTCTGTCGTCTATCTATCTATCATCTATCTATCTATCTATCTATCTATCTATCTATCTATCTATCTATCTATCATCTATCTCTATCTATCTATCTATCTATCTATCTATCTATCTATCTATCTATCTATTTATCTATCTAAAGCTCTTGTTATTTTAGTAGTTTAATCTTTAATTGGCCAAAACAGTGCATCAGTGAGCAACAGTTTTTGAACCAAGGTATCTGAAATGGGCTAAATTACAGAATGTGTCCAAAATCTGAGGCCTATGACTCCCAAGAGAATGAAATTTGGGGAAATTGTGGCCTCTTCAGTGCTACTGCTGCTACTGTAGGAACATACTACATCTTAATGTTTCATGACAGTTTCTTAGCCAGTCTCACCATCCCTTGCTCCCTGCCCCCCATCAAGCAGCAGCTACTTATCTGCTTCTGGGAAGGGAGGAAAGGTGGCACAGAGAGGAATTCCCACACAATCTTCCCTTCCCATACCACTACTGCATGATCCCCTCATCTGTGTAACCCCCCCTCCATGGATCTTTCCTGACCTGTGCTATCTTGCCACATGCCTTCTCCACACAGCACCTCTTGCACATTTCCCTAACCTAGACTGTGTGGCACTTCTTGCACATGCCCATGCACTCTTCCCAATATGTGCAACCCCTATGCACACCATCCTCAATTGGCATGACACCTCTCATATGTCCCACATTCTTGTTGACCCCCCACTACCCTCCCATGTGCCCTCTGACCTGCATGATACATGTCATGAACTCTTGGACACCCTTTTTTTGACCTATGCTGCTCACCCACATGCCCTCTCCATCGGCTCATCTTTGGCACACACCAACATATCTTTCTCAATCACACAGCACCTCTTGTGCTTCCTTATGTACCATTCCTGACCCATACAGTTCCTCAATTCCTTGCCCATCTCCAAGTTTCCCACTAACAAAGTAAATTCAAGGGAGGGAGGGAGGGGGGAAGGATTCTGATGCTTCCCGCCAACAGGACACAGATTACCTAGTATGTTATCATATTATATGTGTGGTTTATTATTTTGTTTTTAGTTTGCTGCCCAGTCACACTGTTTGAATTGGGCTGCCTTATAAATTCAGTAAGTAAGCTAAAATAAAATAAAATAAAATGCTTTGCCAATTAATTGGTGAAAGACTGATCATGAATGAGTTAAAAATGGGAGATTCCCTTTTTGACCTTGAAGCAACCACAGAATTGCTGCCTGTGGGGGAAAAGAGTACTGCCTCCTATGTTTTCTGTTGGGCTCCTTTAAAAAGAAAAAAAAAAAGCACTGTTGGTTTTAAAAACTTTGCTTCCACTCCTTTCTACAAATCCTACTTTCTAGGAATCTTTGTGACCTTAAGAACAGCAATCGATTATGACTCACAAAAACTCTTTGAGGAGCAGAAAAAAACAACAACCCTGAACAATTTGCCTTGGTCACACAGAAAAAACTAAGGAAAGATTGAGAACAGGGACCCTAGTCTCCTGAATTACTCCAGCGCCTTAGGCAAAGTTCTTTCTTGCCTGTCACAACAAATGACTTCATTGTGTTCCTACCAGAATACATACAAATATCCCAGCTCACTGTTTTATGAATTTTCACTGCATTAATATGTATCTAATGTTCTTGCATAATAATGCAATTCTTCAAAAAGGAAATGCAGGGGGGGGGGGAAATGGACAGGGTAAACATACCTAACCTTTAATATTATTTTCATGTTTTGGGTCACGTTTTTGTTGAATGCATTTTTTAAAAAAAGATAAGAAAAATTAACTCAGTAATCTTTTAGTATTTCTAACAATGGATAGATTCCGATGAACAGATCCAGCAGTCTTAAGTATGTATTAGCGTAAAAATATCGGTAGCCCTCACAACCTCTAAAACGCAATGTCATGTGACCATATCATTTAGCAACAGCAATCCCAGCAGTCACCATTGTTAAGTGATGATTGCTGGTTATTCAGAAGGTGAAGACTTCATGTGACTGAATTCCTGCCAACTTCCCACAAGCAAAGTTAATGGGGTTGCAAGTCTTGGTCACGGCAAGCTTTTCGTTAGGCAACTTGAAATCAAACCGGCAAGCGGGTGGGTGCTCTGGAATGTGGGCTGGGGAAGTGCTGTAGTGCAGTGCGAATGTAGGCATGTGGGTGGGTGCATAACCGCAGGATTATTGTGATGGCCACAACTTTGAGGGCGAGTTGTAAAACCCACTTGGTTCAGCACCATCGTGACACTGAAAAGTAACAGAATTAGCAATTGTAATGTAAGGAGAATCTCTACTAGAAACTCTCTAGTCATCCAGTCATCCATTGGGAAAATATCCTAATCTGACATTTCTGATATTTCTATCTTACTTTTTAAAAACCTATCTATATTATATTTCAGTAGGTGTACATCTACCACCTTTCCTGTCTCTTTACATTTGTTAGGCCTAAAACAATCATGGTCAATTAAAGTAAGGGCTGAATGTTAAAAATTGTTATTTGTTTAAGACAATTATTCAATTTATAATTAAAGCTTTCTGATTTTTCAGAATACCTCTAACATGTGTTGGAAATCGTTTAGATTTAGCATTTGTGTGAGAGGTTCAAGAACTATTTCCAATTCCTTTTGCCCCACTCCATTTAAATCCTTACTACAACAGCTTCTGGCCACCCCCTTTTTCAGGGTTTATTTTAAAAAATTAATTGGCTGCAGCCCATTTCTGAGGGAAATGTTTTCTGGTTTCTTGTAAGGTAGATTTATGAAATGGTATTTTGAACAAAGCAACACGAAAACATCTGGCAAGCATTTGTTAATGTGAACTCAAATGATGGCATCTAAGTAGCTAATAAATTAGGAGAATGTGTTTTTGGGGGGGGCTGGTTTGGTTTTTCTCCCCCTTTTCTTGCATTCATTAAAACCAGCATATGATGAAAAGGACTGATCACAATTACAATTACATGGAAGCTTGCTTTGCCTGAATGCCTTCTTGTAATATTCTATCAAGACCTTTTTAGATCTCTGATTTGCCATTTGGGACTAATTTATATAGTTCTTTCATCCAGATGGTTAAGATCACACAAGGACCCACACAACAGAAATAGTTAACTTCAATGCTGGATCTTGCATTGTTTTGCACAGTAGGAATCTTGCTGTACAGCAGAATATATTGTGTTGCTCTGCATCACTGTCAGATATAGTGAGTACCCCATCAATGTTTGAGGCACCCTTAACAGAAAATGTACTTAAAGTGTGAAAATGCTACTTTTCTCATTGAGCCATTTATATACTTGATGGCATACAAGATTCTTCTTCTAACTGTATGAATTTTCAGGATAAAGTAGGAATATTATAAAAATATTTTAGGAATCAAATAAATTCTTTATAACAACCATCTTAAAAGTATTTTAGACTTTGATATCCAGGACACTATAATTACTAAAACAACAGACAAAATTAATTTAAAGAATATCTAAATTTATAAAATACTCTCTTAGTTTAGATTTATTAAAACAACTTAAGCTGAAATACAGTTCTATAATTACAAGAAAGCCTGTACTATATTATCAAATTCTATTTCAAATGATCAATTTTTGGTACAGGAAGTTTAACTGGATCCTGAATAAATTCAGACAGCAATAACTCTTTGTGTTATAACTCTTTGTGATTTAAAACATAGACATAATTTTCCAACAGTAGAAAAGACAATATAGACATTTACATGTAAAAATAAGCTGTACTTACAGAATGAAACCTCCAGTTCATGACAAACTGCAGAAAACAAATTTATTATTCTGCATCAATTAATGTAGCCTACAATTGGACATTGTAACATTTTAACCTGAAACTAGATCAGGAATGAATAGAAATCAAATTAAGATTAAATTTTTATTAATTGGGAAGAGTTATAGCTAATTATGGCTCGAATTATCCAAACCTGGGAAAATATGTCCATCATCACAGATTTAACTGGCACACAGGAGTCTTTGGATAAGAAGGATCCACAAGCTATGATCCAAGCTTTAAGAGTAAATAAATGGAATTATTAATAATACTCGGCTTATCCAATTTTAAATCATGAATGGTCCATTATTTGGGAGTATTTCTGTCTTGAATGATTAAATTTGACTTTGTCCCATTCAGTCTTTTCATGTGAGCAAAAGGTAGAATGAATTGTTTATTGCCATTGTTTTAAATGAAGTGCACAAAAGGGAGCTCTGCATTTGATCAGAATAATATGGATACAAAGGGATGGCTATATCTTTCTTTATATGTTTGCTCAATCAAATAATGTAGCTCTATAGCAAATAAAGTAAAAATGTTAAAGCAATTAACTGGTAGGAATAAGGTTTAAACTTGTCCGGTCATTGACTACATTTTAATTAGAGAGAGACTTTAAACACATGACCAAAGGGCATAAACTGACTCATTGCTGCTAAATTATAAAGCAATATTAATGCTGTTGATGCAATATACAGTATGAAGAGTAAGGTACATTTTCTGATTTCTTTAAGGAAACCTACATTAACACTTGAGAAAGTCATTTAAATTATTAATAATTCTGAGAAGCTTAAATAATTGGGATTGGAGTGCCTTTTTAAAAACTGTTCTTCCTTTGATACCAACATCGTTTAAATTATCTCACTGATTTCATTGGGATCGAAATTCAATTTGCAGATTAGATCTATACCCTAGTATTTACCTTATGGTTCTAGCAATCTTCTTGGGGGTAAATATAACAGCAGATCCAAGTTTATCACTGTCCTACCTTTATACCTCTTTGGTAATACATGGATTTTGTTGTATATTTTCCTATTCCAGAGTAACTACAAAGACACACCTTTTCACTACAGTTGCCCTTAATCTTTTTATCCCAATAAAGCAATTGAAAGTCCCCGATGCTGCTGAATGTATGTAATATGTTTAAAGCCCTGCTGGTTAAAAAAAATTAAGCAATACAAAAAAGTGTTTCATTGAGAGATTCCTTTTCTGGCTTCCTTCCTTAATACCCAAATATTCCTGGATATAGACACAAAGAACTATATATTTTTAAAGATTTCTGCAAGTACAAGAGACTAAAAAACTTCTGGAAAATCCAAGTAGTAGAATTTCAACTTCGGACTCCTAAAGTATAATGTCCTTTTTTAAAAAACTACTTATTTAGTTTATTGGCTAATAAAAGTAGATTAGCATATTACATTTCACACGTTTTCAGGCAGGAATTCCAAAGCAGTTTAATGTATTATTTGCCCCTAAAGTCACCTGTGCATATATCTCCTTACCCAAACTTCATTAGGGAAAAAAAAATTTAAACAAAAACAAATCAACTTTTTCAATCAGCCAAGGGTATATACCAGTGATGGCTAACCTTTTCCGAACCAAGTGCCGAAAGTGTGGGCGCATATGCCCGAATGCATGCAGGTGCGCCCGAACCCACAAAATGCAATGTGCACACAGCCCCCATGCATGTGACCTGCCCCATACATGTGTGCATGGCCCTCCACATGCCCCCGTGCATGTGTGTGCGCCCATCCAGCACGCGCCCCACCCTACGCATGCATGTGTGGTCCCCTGCATGCGTCCCTGCGCATGTGTGCACCTCCCAGTACGTGCCCCCCACCCCGTGCATGCATGGCAGAGACCTGAAGACTAGCTGGCTGGTGGGAGGTGCACGCGCATGCACGGCACAACTGAACTGGGCCGATGGCTTGCGTGCCCAAAGAGAGGGCGTTGTGTGCCACCTCTGGCACTCGTGCCATAGGTTTGCCATCACGGGTATATACGGTATAAAATACATCACAGAAAGGAGAGGAGAAAAATTCCTTCCATCAAGAGATATTTTAATCAGGTAAAGTAAAAACAAAAACAAAAAGGAGCACTTGGTGAAGAAATAAGTTCTTAACAAAAACTATATTGATATTGTTTCCTGATTACTTATTTGTACCCTATGACTATCATTAAGTGTTGTACCTTATAATTCTTGATGAATGTATCTTTTCTTTTATGTACACTCAGAGCATATGCACTGACAAATTCCTTGTTTGTCCAATCAAATTTAGCCAATAAAAAATTCTATTCTATTCTATTCTATTCTATTCTATTCTATTCTATTCTGTTCTGTTCTGTTCTGTTCTGTTCTGTTCTGTTCTGTTCTGTTCTGTTCTATTCTAACATTTACTGCAGCATATTTTGTTCGGAAGAAATACCAAAATGATATACAATTCAAGGCAGTTAATACTAAAGCCTCCTGGAGATACAGGGCTGTTTACAGCCTACAGCCAGTGTTTGCAGTCTTATGACTATGGAGGCCAGAGCATAGACATGTTATGGTAGCAAAACTGGAATTCTGATACAAAAGCAAAATTAACACACAAGCTACTTTTCAAGCCTGATTTATCTCTGAATTATACAAAAGTGCTGATATTTTATTAAGTAGAATCAGAAAACACTTTAGTTATTTGATACAAGAATAAAAGGGACTTTGCATGCTTTAAGAGTTCTTTAAGAGTTCTTACAGCTCAACTTTTTTAAAACTATTTTTTTCTTGTTCTGAAAGTAAAAATGTATGGGTGTCACATCCTCTGATATATAGTTCAGATATCTTATCTGTTCAGCTCTTTAGATTCCTGAGTGAACAGGAAAGTACTGCTGCTTGAAGAGAAGAGCAACAACGAAGTGGAAAATTACAGACGTTGTGACTCTGAAGTCAAAGCTCATTAGACAATGAACTCCCCAGTTTAGAGAATTCAGAACAGAAAATAGGTGAGCACCGGTGCCTTTGAGGTTTCCTCCAGTTTCCACAGTATATAAGCCACCCCTTCAACAATTAATTATATAAGGTCAAAAAATATTACCAGTATCTTTCTTCCTAGAGGAAAACAACTCGGTTTCAATAATGCTGAACTATAAGAAACGTTAAATTGATTTGAAAGTTACATTATAAAGTGAATTAAGTTTTTTAAAAAAAGTTTCGGAAGAGTATTGTTCAGAATAAAAATGAAAATAGTGTTCAAATGCAGGAGAGTTAGAGAAAATATTAATTACAGTAACCATGAATTTTGACCTATGCACAAAAAGAAGATAAGGAATTGGGAAAAGACCTAAAACTGGATGAAACTATTCAGTTTTCTGAGTTTTATCACTAACAGTGTCAAAACAGTGCAGACATCTATGCATAAACAAACCCCTTAGTGTTGTTTTGTATACTTAGGTTTGACCATGCTATTCCCAGTGTGAGATAATCAATTCTTACCTGTGTCATCTTGACAAGGTCCAATGAAGGTCTTTGTTCCTTTACCTCTTCAGGTCGTCTTCGCTTAATTCCAACTTTCTTGTCATTAAGGACACATGGTTGAGACCGACTTCGAGAAAGCCCATTGGAGCGCCTTGTCAACTCTGGTGTCGAGGCAGGTGTGCTGTTTGCTGAGGGCAGACAATATTCCGAAAAGGAAATTTGATCATGGGAACAAGAGAGAGATCGCTGCATGTCAATCCTGCCACTCTCAGAAGAGCTATGATCATTACCCCAAATATCATTTGTCTGTCCGTAAGTGGCTGACTTTCGCATTCCTTGGCATGGCTGACACCCAAATCTATTGCTAAATCCCATCTGGTCATATGATGAGGAGAGAGTACTTGACCTGGAAGGAAGGCTAAAGCTTGAACTTCTCTGCATTGTTGTGAATCCATTGGAGTAACGCTGCACACTTCCCCCGCTGTAGCAGCGTCTCTTTTCTACAGGAGTCCAGACCTTTGATCCTATGGGCTTCCATGAAGCCCGGCAACTAGACATCTCATCGGAAAAAGAGAGTGATCGACACTGGCGTTTGCTGGGAGGTGCTGAAGGGTTGCCATTGCGGTCACTAAGGCTGAGATCCTTGATCAAGTTGGTTACTGAGCATGCATTAGCTGGCTCTCTCTGCCATAAGGAGCTTTCATCATTTTTGTCAGGCAAGCAGTCCCAAATGTTGGCACTTGGCTGTTCGACCTGAAGGGGATATTTCCTGCTGAGATCTCTCCATCTGTCATTTTCTAGTTTTAAAGGATAAAATGATATACAATCAATCAGTCAAATATTTATTACAGTCAAAGTCCGGTACAATTAAAAATTCTCAAAGAATATCTAGAATAAAACAACACACACAAATCAAATCTATGTTGAAATCATAATTTGGCAGCCTATCTGTCAGTTGCACATAAACAAGAGCAAGGCCTAAGCTATAATATAATATTAGGCTTTAAATTGTGAAGGCCTATACTTATTAGACAATAATAAAAGTACAATGGGGTGATGATATCAAAAGATTTAGTGCATTAATGATATAAAATAGTTATAATGGATTATTCATCAGGTTTTGGCAAATCTGTAGTGCTGCTGTGTAGAATCTTGCTACCTGTGCTGTGACTACCATCCATTTGTCTTTAAGCAACCACTTAAAGAGAGGTTTTAAACCAGATTTAGAGAGGGCTGTAAAACACTGTGAAGCAGTATGTAAGTCTAAGTGCTATTGCTAAGTGCTATTGCTATTAGAAAAAGTAGTATTTCCTATCATACATAGTAGTCCTTATGTGATCTAAAAATGTGATTATGTGATTTATATTACTAAAAACTAGAGTCTACATTTTGTTCTTTATGTCTTTCAGAGATCCTTTCATTCACAATATTCTCCTTTCTTTTCTTTTTTTTCAAATAAATAAATATATAGGTTTATTGCAAGCTTAATCTCTCTACAAGAATCTGAACTACTAATGGTTCAAGCAATTTGGTGGCAAATAAGGATTTCATTGTGGGCTGTCATAGATTTCTTGTGGGTGCTAAGGGATTTCAGACTGAGGATGCTTTGGTCAGAGATTCTGATGTCTGGTGGAGGTTTGTTCTCCGATCCCGTGGATTGGCTTCCGAACACCTCACCTCACAATATTCTCCTTTCAAAAGCCTCTGGTATCTAGATTTAAGTAAGTTTAGTGTCACAAATCCTAAACAATGGTTAATTTTATCTACAATTAGATTCTTTCAAATAGCTCTGTAAAGTCTTACGTAAAATTGTCTTGTTTTCCTCTAACTATAGCTACAGTAAATCTTGGTCCTCTGGATTTGGATGACGCTGGTTATCTAAATTGGAAGGAGATATGGGGGAAACAGATGATCCTGACACTTACAGCAATTTATTCCCACGGTGCTCAACAATAGTTTAATCATAAATTTAAATATTATGTCCAAACAAGCATCTATATTTTATTCCCAAGTTTTGCTCATACTCAGCACTTGAATTTAGGGAAACAATATTTTTTCCATTGGGAAAAAAACATTCACCTTAAATATTTGCTGCCATGGATCCCAGCCAGTTCATGCTACGGCCAATCCAGAAACCTATTTTAAGATCATGGTGATCTTAAAGATATATTATTGTTTTGATAGAATATGGGTCAGAGAACAGAAAAATTCCTAATATGTGGACTCTTCCCTCCCCCGACTTTTGGATAAAAATGAAACCATCTAGAATTATAGCTCCATTGTAAGCTGCCGTGAGCTACTGATTCATTTCAACATCTCACCTACATCTGCTGTGGTTGACAGTTATTAAAGTTCTGACTTAAATTCAGCTGACAGTAGCTTTGTTAAGAAACAAACCATGAGAACAGCAGCAGAGAAAAGCAACAGATTCTGTACTATTATCAGGAGTGGTGGCTTGTTTCTTCTACTTTTTTCTCTCTTCTAAGAGACAAAGGAAATCAGAAGATTGGAACTGAAACTGCTTACGCATGAAATATAGTTTCAGCCATATCTGAATGGCCATTTAATATCTTATTCAGCATGAAGCAAAAATACTGGGGATTATAGCACTGAGAACATTTTTTAAATCCATACATTATTAAGGCTTACAATCAATCTCAAAGCGCTAGAGTGCAAATTTAATTGTACTCCAAAGCAGCTCAGTATCCTAACAATTTGGATGAATGAAAGGACTATTTAAGCAGAATGACATGGGGGTGTTCATAGGGTGGGTTCAGTTTCAAAGACTTGAGCGATGAAGGTTTTAATAAGAGGAAATTCTGTTCTTAGTGATGTGTGTGTATCTATTATGAATATTTATTAGGAGAAAAGCCTGCAAAGCAATAGATGGCAACAATCCAAAGCCAGGAAAAAGATTATTCTGTTAGCATTGTATGCAAGAGGAAATAATCTTTTTTCCCGCTTCTTTGTCGTTCAGGAACAGTTCACAGTGCATGTGCTATCATACTCAAACCGCACCACTATCTGCAAGGTCTCCATTTTATTTTGTGATAATTTCCCCTCATAATCAGGCACCAAAACAGAACTCTGGAGTCCTTCCCTACAATCCTCATGTGCTTTCTTCTTTAATCATATTCTCAAAGGCCAGTTGCCTTGACATTGAATATGGAAAAAGTTTTGTGCTTGGTATTGGCTGACCTTTAAAAACCAGTGCTTAGATGTTTTGTTCTGAAGCCTTATGTAGACTACAGATTCTGGATTTTTGCTGACAATTATTTTAACAATTAGGTACTAGAAACTTGGTAAAAAATGTGTAGCATAAATGCAGACAGCTAAACAATTTTAATTGTTTAAATACACCCACAATTAGCTTGAGGTCCTAGGCCTTAGGGCCAGTACTTGGAGCAAAACAATCTAACCTGAACAACTTATATCAGCAGTGACCAATCCCATGGCTATGCAGACTAATCAAATAATTCATGGGAGTATCTGATTCTCATGATTTTTATACTTTTTTAAATTTATTGGTTGTAAGCTGCACTGAATTGTTCTAAGATGGGCAGCTATCAAATGTGATATATTTATCTATCTCCTTCTTTTACGAACTAAATCAGTCTGTTGCAATGAAATAATAGATATTATTCACACAATCACATCTACACATAGTTAAAAAATTGATTAAAGACTCCCTCAATATGAAAATAAAAAATATGACAAAAATATTTAAAGGGAACAAAATCAAAACAGCATTCTTTGATCATGATGTACTTTCTTCAGAACTGTGGATACTTTTACAACAATGATACTTCTTGGTGATTCTCAATTGATCCTTGTGTTGGAAGAAAATAATCAGTCATTCTCAGAACAATTTGAAGGAAAAATCAGTGATCGAGAACTAATGTCAAACCTTGATTAGAATTAATGGCTAAACAGTCAAATGAAAAGATAATTACAGTGGGCTTAATAATGTAAGCCTACTGTAAGATTCATAAGTTGAATTCCTCCTGGAGGAAAACTGGAAGACGTTTAAAATAAGCAATTAGATGAAGAAAACTATTGGATTATGTAAACTGTCTAAAACATAAGGCAGCTGAAAATATCTTTGCAAACAGCAGTGGCATGAAGTTGGAACATTAGCTGAGCAGCTAATGGAGGGTAGGGTAAAATAATTTATAACTTGATTTACCATACTTCAGGAAGTGACTATATTACTCGGTCATAACTGTCATCTGAAATTAGAACAATGTGGAGCTACAAAACAGCTCTTCAAATACATGAGATCAACAAAATACATGAAAACTTAATCTGAAATACATTTATTGTGGTTTGCTCTATAAAATGCCAAACCTTCCAATTAGTTCAGAAATCAGCAAATAATGCCTTAAGGTGTCTGTAGTTTAGACAGTGCTAAAAGGTTTTTAAAAAATTTTTAAAAAGAGAGACTTGTATAGCCAGCATATTTCACATTTTCATGAATCACCTCTGTGTGAGTTGGGTAGCTGGATAAATTTGTTTAACAAATAAATAAGTTACAATGTGCTGAAAAAAAGTGAGTTACAAGTGTTCCTCGCACTTACAATGGTTGTACAGTCCCTGTGGTAATGTGATTGCAATTTGGGCACCTTGCAACCAGCACGCATTTACATTGGTTGCAGCATCCCAGCGTGATGCGATAGCCATTTGCGACATTCCCAAGGGGTTCCAACAAAGTCAAAGGGGGGAAGAGGGTGGATTTGCATAACAATCACATGATTCACATAATGACCCCAGTAAATAAAACTGTAAAATTGGCCATGACTCATTGCATTCTTTAGTGACTGGAGTTGTGGTCCTAACCGTGATATATCAAGGACTACTTATAGTGTTCAACGATTAAAATTGCATGTCATCTATAAAAACTATAAAACGTTTGTGAAACGATAAAAGATAATGGAAACCATTATATTTAAATTATTAAAATATACTAATATCCCCCTTCAATATCTATTTCATTATTTTATTTGGCCTTCTCCTTTGGTATTTTATTTCATTCATTAGTTATGTTGATTTAAACATCCTGCTTACATCAGACCCTCCATCTTCCTCTTTAAACAATAAGCAAGAATCTCATACTAGCTATAGCCAATAATAACAGGATCCTGGAGCCTTATTTATATCTTATTTGTTCACAAAATAATTTCTGAGTCACCTTTCAACCCAGTAGGTACCTGGAAGATGATTTACAAGTTAAAGCTTGAACAAGGCATTCTACCCACAGAATGGAAAGCTTTGATAATGCAGTCTCTGAACTATCCCAACCTCTGCCAACAGAGAGGAAAAGAGGTTTCTTCATTTATTTAATTCTATGTTTTCTTTTTAAGTCATCCTTTTGTACAATAAGCTGGCATAACCTCATCACTGAATTGCATTGATTTTATTTATGAGTATACACATGTTTTGTCAACTATAAGCTTTAGAAAGCCAAGGATATTTTTAAAAAGTACAAAAATGTAAGATAAAGAAAACCAGTACTTTGAACTGTGTGAAAACAACTGTTAGCCCGTAAAATGAAGACAAAATAAGCTTATAATACACCAGAGCAAGAACTAAAAAGCAAACCAATGATTGCATTTTGCACTAACCCATGCTTCGAGGGTGAGATGCAGCAATTATATATGAAAACTTGGACAACTAATGCTAGATCGAGCTTCTCCAAGAAAAGAGGATAACTGGTATATAAGCTGAAGCTGGGCACAAGTGCTAAGCAACCATATCTACCATGGACTGAGCTGACAAATAAAAACAACTTCTCACCAAT